AGTTGATCTGGAGGCAGCAAAAAAAGGACAAAGTGATTTAAAGTGAGGTTTGATCCTGAAGGATGGTGGCGTGTCGGTAAAAGGCTATTTGTTGTGTTATTATTCTGCAAACTGTGTAGTACAGTAAATAGTGCTTTCATTTAAAGTCCAATATGACCAAAAACTTTGGACTGTGAACAAATAATTAAATAAACATCTGTTTTTAGAGATTTTTCAGCATTTTTGAAATACAGGAAAATTCTAATAAAACTACAAAAATTGGGGTGCGCTATAGCTCACCTGGTTGAGCTGCCGTCCCATGTGGGACAGGGGTTACAGTCCTGATGTGGAGGTCATGAGTTTGAATCCCGCTCATGGCCATTTCCCACACATCCTCCCCCCATTCTTCTCCCCCACTTTCCTGTCTCTTTCTCACTTCACTATCAAATAAAGGCACAAAGGCCAAAAAACAACTTGAAAAAAAAAAAACCTACAAAAATGGTCAGTCAATGTATAGATCTAGCGTAAAATAAAACAATAATGGAATGCGAATAACAACAAAATAGATTTCTTATTTTAAAGAAAACAATTGTTTTTTTTACATGTACAGCAAATTTTTATTTAATATATTAAAGTGTTAATATATTTACAATATAAATCATATCTACTTTTAAAACACAATTAGTGGCAATTAAAATAGGACATTATATATCAATTTTTTAATGTTATCAGTAATACACACATGATGTAATGTAAAATAATTATTGAAAATTACTGTTTGTTTTTACAGTGTACATAAGTAACATGATGAGGTGAAGATGTAAATAATTGCTTTAACATATTTAAAATATATAGTCTGTTAGTTATAAAGTATTGTTTATTCCTATTGTGATGCGAGCCATGGTGTTTGGTATTGCCAAAACACCAAACTGTTGAGTGATAAACATATAACCACAGAGGGTACTGTAAACATGACTTTATAATCATTTTAAACAAAGAAAATAAGGGTAAGTTTTTAGGAATCTCCAAAAACAGAGTAGAGTAGTGGGGTAGTGAAGTGACACATGTCAAAAACTAAATAAATAGCTAAATACACAAGCCACAAGAAATGTATGTGAAGCTGCAAACCCCACTGGCAACACTTCATTCATAATCTGATGACATTGGGAAGCATCAGGAGCCAGATATAAGCAGGAATATGATGAGCTAAGTCGCACCCTGACATGAACAGAATTCAGTTACATAGCTGCCACACAAACTGCTACTTTAGTTTTTGCCACTTAACTTAAGCATTACGTAAGTTTCGTAATGCAGTCAATGCTGTCGAGTGTTCAAGCTTCATTATTTGAAATTCTTCCACATACTGTATCTTACCCACCACTGAGCTACACCTTTAAAGCTCCCCTTAAACCTCAGAAAACACCTTGATGTAATGCCGCCTGCCAAATTATTAACCGGGAACACACACGCATGAACACGCAGTCACACAAACACAAACAGAACAAAAATTACGAGACGAACCGAGCAAAGGAAAAAAGCAGCACCGCGAGGCCACATTAAAAAGTGATATTAATATGCATCTATTCGCACAAACACGCACAAGTGCTGTGTGACTGATGGCTGCTTGTTTACCATTCCATGTTCAGTTAAGCCTTCTTAAGAGAAAACACAGCCCATGCCAAGCGAAAACAAAAATTGAGGGCTTGAAAGCCACCGTGATTTCAGTTAATTGCAAGGAGGGCGTAATTTTGAAGCACTTACTCCTGTGAACAGACATCAATAAGTGAGCTGCAGGAAGCAGTTACATTAAAAAAAAATAGCTAGAAAAAAAAAATAAAAATCAATAGACAAACGATTTCTCAAAACCACTCGTTAATTTCTCTCATCTTGAATAAAGCCTCAAAAATGAGGCTAATCGCTAGGCTAACACTACCTCCTCCTGGATACACGAAGAAAGGTTGTGCTTCTCCCCCCATGTAGCACAAAGGGTGTGTTTAGTGGCTAATCACAGTTGTTCATTCGGCAGGGACTGCTGGAGATCATCCAGGCCTATAAAAGCCAGGGAGCAACACGATTATCCGACATTATGGCATGTACACCTGCTACTTTAGAGGCTGAAAGAAAAGGAAAGACGAGGAGAGGATGGGAGATGATACGAAAGGAGCGAAGAGAAGACTAAAGAGGGGAGAGAATGGAATATGCCCCTCACATGAAGAGTGTGTTTCTTCATCAGGCAGGGCTAATGGATCACCCACTCAACACCCAGGAAATTATCTCAGGATAGCGCCCTCCTTTCCTCAGACATGATTAATTGATCGGAAGAGAGCGAGGGAACGAGAAGAGAGCAGAAAGAGAGCGAGGACGAAAAAAAAAGAAAAAGTGCTGATGTACTTCGGAAGAGAGGTAAATTGGAAACAGTGGGGATCTGAAAGACTTGTGCTGACCTTTTTGACTATTAATGAAAGTGGAAAATGGTCACATTTGAAAATGTCTTCCGTTTCTTATAAAAATCTGGAGCAGGAATGGGCACTGTAGTACCTGTAGCACCCCCCAATCCAGGCTGTTATGATGAGACAGGAGGAAGGAACAAGGAGATGAGGGGTAAAGAAAAGGACAGACAAAAATACACACCGCAGAGGGAAAACCGAAAATTCAGCCTTTCAGATTTTAACTCCAAATTACACCGATCAGTTTACCTCTGAAATTAAAAAGCCCCTTGGCAACACCAAACTGATTTGACCAAGGCTGTAAACAAAAACTACTTTCCCATTCCAGAGTAAAAGTGTGTGTGTGTGTGTGTCTTTGTGCATTTGTGTGCATGCGTCTAACCAGGCTTGCAGTTCTTGCTCTGCCTTGGCCCTGTCTTGCTCCAAGCCTTTATACAGCTCATCAGTGATCTTCTTCCTCAGGGCCTCCTCATCCACTGGGGACAAAAATAGAAAAAGAAGCAGAGAGGGGGAAAAAAAAGAGAGTTAAAGTGAGACATTTTAAGTAAACAGCTATTGTTTGCTGACAGGCAAAAAGGTCTAAAAGGTAAAAGAAAAAGAAAAAAAAGAAAGGGGAAGAGAACAGTGGGTGTTTTTCTAAAAAGTTTTGCAACATCTGCATTAATCAGAAAATGTGTTGCTCAGAAAGAACATTCAGTCTATAATGACTGAGTGAGAATCGTCAGTATTTGGGTTGTCGTCGGCTAAAGCTGCAATTAATCGTGTTTGAAAATGATGGAAGTTGCAAAGCTAATGAAAGATTAACGATGTTGAAATTTCTCAGAGTCAAAGATGACGTATTTAAATGTCAAAAACCCTGAGATCTGTTATACCGCCATTGGAAAGGAGATATCATTCAAAAATAACATGGGTAATGTCTGGCAAGGTTGCCGGAAAAAATGACTTAAAACAGCCATTAGCAGTCGTATTTTTGTTGATTGGTTCATGACTTCAGCTGTTTTATGAAGTGTTTACTGAGTTCAGTGCAAGTTCTCTGTGTTTGCTGGGAGTGAAGCAATGTGGGACTGAAAGCTTGGCCCTCAGGCTACAGTGTGTGTGTGTGTGTGTGTGTGTGTGTGTGTGTGTGTGTCGGTGTCATAGGCAGCAAAGACCTACAGAATTACAACACACACTTCCAGTAAAAACCACACAGAGACATACACACATCCTTAAATCACAGCAGCACGGTACCACCTCGTCTACATATATTCATGTCAGGGACGTCATACGTGTATGACTCCGTGTCTTCGCCGGTCTATCTTGGCAGGTAATTAAGCATGAAAGTAAAGATGCCAGCCGGCGACCAGGCCAAAACGTGCTCTGAAGACAGAAGTGCCATGCGGTGCGCTGCGACACTGCAGCGATTGGGTAGAGAGGTGGGGGGAGGGAGGGAAGTGTCGGAGTCTGTCAAGATTACTCTCCTACTGCATTAGTTAGATGGGATAATCCTTATTGTCAGAGTCTATTATTACCTGGTAACATGTGGTAACAGCAGGCCACAAAAACCTAATTCCAGCTGAATCAGATTAGCACTAAGGGGGAAAACAAAAGGGCCAGAAATATGCAAAGCTGCTCTTTATTTATCATCTCGGGCCAGTTAAACACGTAGAGGGGAAGAAAAAAAACACCATATCGTAAAGTAAAACTGCCTTATGCTTTTGCATTGCTCTGAGTAGCAGCAGATACTCTGTAATTGTAAAAAGCTGCGGTGTTTAGGGGTTACTATAGTTGTGATTTCACATCTGTCCAAACGGAAAGAACTCCTCAACTTGCCTCACTCCCTTAAATGCTTTTACCCCTCAGATTTAAACCCTTCCTTTAGCCTAATTACTGCGATTATAGACAGTCTAAAAGCAAGAAACCCAAATTGTAGATTAAAAATACAACTGTCATATAAATGTTTTAAACGTCACTTGACCCTGACAACTAGTTAAAACCTGTGCGTGAAGGATTGCTGATTCTGATTATACAACTTTAGTTTTAGGGGGGTGGGTTTTGTTAACTGGTATCTGTACTGGCCTCAGTGCCTTCGATATATTCCACACTTATGAAAACTGAAATAAAGATGCATTACTTCACTAATTAGATACATTAAATTCTGAATAATATGTCAATAGTTAATCAGGGACACAAAAAGTTCCAATTTTTTAAGTTGGTGTTAAACAGTCTGAACGTTGTTATTAATCTCAAATAACCTTTCAATATTAAAAGCTTGACAGCACGAAGACCGTAATTTTCTTCAGTTGTTTGGTGTTAAGATAAAAATAGGTAAACGATACCGTTGAAGTGACAGCACCTGGTTACAGAGATACTAGATGATGCAAGTGGTGTCATGGATACATAAAATCTCATTTTAGAATCTTCACCTCCTTCAGCACCTGAGTAAAACAACACTCCCAGTAATTTGTTCACTCCTGCGTCAAACACACAAAAATACACAAAATCACAAGTTAACTTAATCCTTTCTTTGCCTTCTACCATCTAGAAAACTTTTCTTCTCTGCAGCAAACAACACATAACAAGAAGTCACAGTGTGACTATTTGGTACAGTAAAGAGAATGAATAAGCGTCAGGCTGTGGGAGGTTCGGTTTGACAGGGCTTTAGAAGAAACACTAGAACAAACAGAGGTGGTGATTGACAGTTGACAACTTCTTGCTGCATAGTGTATCCTCAAAGACAGAGGCTGCCGTCACCTACAGTCCAGAGGGTGAGAAAATTATATCCATCGTGTCAGACTGCACTCAGAAGCACAATTGATCTCATTGCAGAGGAGAGTCTAATTACAACTGTGTTAAGAAGTTCAGAAGAAAGACAACCTGTAGGCTTGAAAGCCAGGCAGAGGCTCTGTCACGGCGACGTCAGTCAAGTCCCAAGCAATAATGCTTTTTCTTTTTACATCACATCAAATAAAAATCTGTAAAATCTTTGAGAGATATGCTATCGCTTGAGAAGAATAATGCAGTGAACACTAGACATCCAGAAATGTGCACTTTAGTTACACGTGTGACTCCTGGAGATGACAGACTCAGCTATCAATATCAATATATCTGATCAACATCATATTTACTGTGATGTCATTCCAGCCAACTAGTCTGTTCGATATCACTGCGATAGTGACAACTAAGAAGACCACAAAACCAGTCACCTTTGGCTCCGGCTTTGACAGAAAGACATGATATATTAATATTTACGTGGTAACCATGAAGCAAACGTGTCACTCAACCAGCCAACTCTGCTGATTTAGCATCCTTTAGCTCACAGTTTGGCTATTAAAGTTCACAAGTTTGCCGTTGAGGTTTGCATTCACAGGTTCCTTTTTTTTTAAGCAGCCAAAAGCAGTTGTTTTTGGTGGAATACCACTGATGGACTGTACAGAGTGGATAATACAGCAGATCGTAAGTCAAATATCCTCTCGAGAAGAAAAGTCTTGCATCTTTAAATAAACTGCTTCAAATCAAAGTTTCAATAAATTTCTGAAATAAACAATGATTTCCTGTACTTTGGTACTACACTATTCTGTGGTGTCTGTGCTAATTGTTAATGCTTCTTCATATCTTCTAAAAGCAGCAACAGGCATCCTCTTAAGACATTTGCATTTTGTGAGTAAGCAAGGGTCAGCAACTACACAACAAGGGTGGTAGTGTGCATGTGTGGAATATGCAGATGCTAATCTCCTGCACATGTATGAAACAAAGTCCTCCAAGCGGACTAGTAAGTTGTATAATATCGACTTGGCATCCATAGCGGTCAAGAATGTAGTAATATCAATATTAATTAATATTAATACCAGTATTGCCCAAACGTGGCTGGGGAAGTCTTTCCTTTTACCTTTAGAAAACAGCTACAAAAAATGCATTTGTTGAAAATTTTCCAATTACGTACTATTCTTCCATAAAATCTTTAGACTACATGAACACACTGGGCACTTCAACACAAAAATCAAATCCTGTCATAATGAACTTTAAAGGTAAGGCTGCGATTTCAGCATCAACTGCCCTTTACAATATCTTACACTTCCATTGAAAATATATACCCTCTAGTAGCGCGCAATGGAAAGTAAAATTTAAAAAGTCCTCCAAGTTCAGGCAAGCTTAAGCAACTCCCCATTTATCACCACATCCTCTCCAGTCATGCAGAGAGAGGCTTCAGATTGCTAGCGGGCCCGCAGGGTCAGTCGGAGAACAGGTTCTGATATGATAAACACTGTCTGGGGTCCTTGAGGGAGGCTGGTTAGGGTCAGAGACAATTCCAGATCGACAGAGCCTGTGTCAATCCTGAGTAGGACATGTAAATGTTAAAAAGATTAAAAACTCATCATCTTTTTAGACGTGTCCCCCTCCTTCCCTTTTCCACCAATCACTAAACCCTGTGGAAAAACCCACAGAGGAGGAGGCGAGGCGATGGAGCACAGGCTATTGGCAGTGGAGATAATAGACGAAGGCAAATTGCGTTTCTCATCAGAAGTTTCATTAACCCCAGGACCCGCATGGAGGGCATAATCTGTAACATTACCACTTCCTCACGTTTCTACCTTGCGCTTAGTCGAGTCACCACACATCTTTCACTATGTACAAATAGGGGAAAAAAGGAAGGGAAAAGCGCCAGGAGCAGGCTTCCAGCCCTGGCAGGCAGGTGCCATTCTGATCATCTGATTTTCTCTATTATTCACACTCTTCCCCGTTCATTCAATCTCATGTGTTGGAATAGGCGCTAACTGATCATTTTGACAAAACAACAAGAAAAGTTTCAAAAGGCGAGAGGTGCATTTCACGAGCTTGACATTCCCATTTATGCACGCACACACTAAGACACTCCCATTTCTGCCATTGTTTTCCTTTGTCTCTCTCATTTTCCTCATTCTCTCTGCTGCACCTGGGAGACATCTTTAAGCAGGCTATTAGTCCAGAGCAGTGTGTGGGCTCTGGCATATGAATATTTATAGCACATTGGAGAAGGTGTAGGAGGTTCAACCTTGACTATGGTGTAATCAGCACACATACTGACTCAGGCCATGATTTAGAGACAGCCGACCTGCTGAGAGCCTCACTCGATACCCAACTCTCGTGGACACACATAATCAATGTCCGCCTCATTAAGGTCGTACCCTTTGAGGATTGGGCTGAACTTTGCAACATTTTTAACGAGATTCACATTCACATTCATCATACCATTTTTTTTTTTTTTATTCCTTAAAAAGATCATACTTGATCAATCGCCCGAGTTGACTTTTCTCCTCTCTTTTATGATACTTTTTAAACGTGGTATAAGCTGTGAGGTGACCTTGCAAGAAGAGTATATTCAAAATACCTCAATAAATGTCAACGCGCATTATGGTTGCATGACGAGTATAAGCGTCAGTGTCTGGCAGGAGTCAGGTACATACTTGCAGATAAATGGAAACTCTGATGGTGACTGTGGAGCAACATTAAAAATGCAGCCAATGCAAACACATACTCACTATCCCAAACACTGCAGATATACTGTGCACACAAGGTCCCCAAAGACATTCGCCTCGAATCAAACTTTATATCAGTGTGTCTAGATTGAAACAGCAACAGAAGTGGATGAAAAAAAAAAAAAAAAAGACATAGCAGCAATGCAGATTTCTCACCCCAACAAATATTTTAGGACTTGCATGCATAGATGGCCACTTTAAGAGGAAATACATGAGCAGTTTTGTGATTTTTCATGACCATTACGTTTGGCAGTGAAAGCAGTAGGCAGATTCTAATAAGAATGACACTGAGTGCACTCCTCGCCTGTTGCAAAATGAAGTGACTTGTTGTATTTATCGTTTCATCTAAAAACTAATTAGCCCAAACAATGGAGTGATAACTTTATTCAACATGAAGAAAAATTAAACTCTGCTAAGACCGTGGCTCCACACTTACACTCGGAGAGTGTTTTTGTTGAACATACATGAAGAAATTCAATTAAATTTTCCGTCACGGTCACCATTCTGGGAAAATAGAATTCGTTCAGAATGCTCCCCAAGCTTACATGAGCACTCTGATGCACATTCAAGCTTCTGATTCAGTTCTTAACGCTGGTCTCCTGGGCCACCTGGTCAGGACGGTGCTATTCTCAAGCCTCACAGCGCTAACGTTTGGGCTGGTTTCGGCTACAGTTCATTTAGTTTTATCATTGTCAAGCTCTCTGTAATTGACCAACAGATACCCCTCCCCGAGCCTGACAGCCAGTAATCAGCGTGGAGAAGTGCCCTGACATTGTCCAATAATGTTACTTACGCGCTCAAACTAAAAGGCGAGGGGCGCACATAAAATCCTGTGTCATACCATGAAAGCCCCACGGCCAAATAAATATTTAACACACACGCCCACCATCTCCTTCTCTTAATGACGCCTGGAGGTTTGTTGTGTGAAACTGCGGAGGTGTCGTTTTAATCACTGGAGTCAGTGTGGCGTGGCATAAGTTGGCCTTTTTTAATTACCTTACTGATTGAGCACAGTCAAGGATGGGGGAGCCTGCCCACACCCTGGATGCCACCCTCTGAAGAACATGCACCTACGGCCCCTTTCTGTACTGTGTAATGAACAGGTAACATTCAAATGTCCTTTGCCGGATGTGTCAAGGGATAAGGGACATGCGCCCACATTAGTGAGACAATAAGGCTAAAACTTTACTTTGAGAAAGAGAGAAGAGGGAGGAGAGCGAGTTTGTCTTTTGTTTGACTCAGCACATACGCATTATTGAGTGTCACTCAATTAACTCGTTATCAGTGTGGTTTGATTTTTTTGCAAGGTTGCGGGACAGTGAAAACAAGCTGACGGCCCAATACTGATACACTCAACAAAAGTCCTTCACAGACATGGAATAAGTAACATTGCTGGCTTCATCAATCAGTTAAAGTTGCAAACATGAGTCACTTTTACGTTAATGTTCCTTACGATTTCATTCAGATACACCCACAAAAGTGAAGGATGGAAGACATGTCACATGAGATTGGTCAATTAGGTGACATCATGCATACTAATGCCCTTACAGACAAAACCACAATCTAAGTACGCTTGAAAACACATGTTTTAATTGCAGCTTCTAAACTATAACTCTGTGTGTGACAGCTCACCTGTCTCTCTAATTAAAAGTAATTACTAAAGTTACTTTTGTTGTTCCACATGCACTAATGCATGCAAGTCTCTTGATGCTGCAGGTATTTAATAAACTCAAAGACTCCTACAAACAGCTCAAAGTTTACAGAAAAAGAGACCAGGATGCTCATTCAAATGTAATGGATTGATGGGAAGGAGTGCATGTCTGAAAAGGAGCAATAGTGTCACCATGTAAAATTATCAGAGCAAGTGTTTTAGCAAACAGTTACCTTTTTACAGATCAGAATATGCAAAACACCATGAGTATTCATTTGGAGTCATAAACTTGGTCAACTAGAGAATCAAAGTTCAATACTCACTGTCCTTTAGGTAAGTTGTTAACCTCTACCAACTCCTGAGAGAAACATCCCACTTTTACAAGGCTAAATGTCTCCCTATGATCATCAATTAGTGGCAAAATTTGCTGTTTGTTCTCCGCTGTAGCTGGACAGGTAGTGTATAATGGGTTTTTAGAGCTTTCGTTCTAATAGCAGCAAAAACAATAAAACTGTGGGCCAGAAAACCAAAACAAAGACCAGAAAGATGCTATAAATCTCTATAGAGTTGTGTGACGCTGTAGACACAGGAGATAATTCTGTGTTGGTCCATTATGGTTCGCTATGAGCGATCCCTTTCATGTACAAAAATCACTCAAATTAAAGTAAAAAGCTCAGAAAAAAAAATAGAAAAAGTAAACATATCCAGAAAAAAACAATAAATAAATAAAATGAATCAAACTACATTTTACTTTATCTTTACCACTTTCCGTGTTCTTACAAACAGCCGAAAGGAAAAGGGTTATCATGACAGCTCAAGCTCCATAGTGACGAAGCAGAACGGAGGGCCGCTAATTACAGCATCAATTTATTAACGCTATTACAAGAAAGAATTAATCATTTCATTAACAGTTAGGAGATGGCAATGCATCACAATGTGACCGTTGCTACTGTGAGGCCCATTTTTAAAATTAAGACTAATTACAATCTGCATGAAAAGCTGAGAGACAAAAAGCTTAAGGTGGCTTACAGTAAACACCCACACAATAAACATCATTAAAATTCAATGTAGCGGGACTTAAAATAAATCCTCGGACAGTTCGGTCCCACGTAACCTTTGCCTTGTAATTAGCCATGCTACTGAAAAAGTGCCCCATACATTTCAGGATAAAATGAGCCATTACCCAGAACAATTTATTACTTTGGTTTTTTTATAAATGAGCATTCACTCTTGTCGGTTGTTTGAAAGAAAAAGACGTGAGTTTTTGTGGCGGCTTGCAAGGTCAGAAATCACAACGGCAGGAATACAGTGAAAACTAAGCAGAAATTCTGAGATGGAAAATGTTTCTGGTCTCCCAGGTAATTTGCTATGCAAGGTTTCAGTAATTCCTGACGCAACTACTTCATCATCAGCTTCTACGTATGTAATGGGTTGTTGGTCAGCTCCTCTGTTTCTCCGTTAATTAAGCTACCCCTAATCAACAGTCAGTCATGATACAATTTCAATCAATATCTTATTACTGAACAACATACTTCATAAAACAATTACAGTGAAGCAAGCACCTTTACCTGCTTCCATCCGTGAAGGGTGCCACCAACGCAAATGTTCTGGAACCTGGAATAAAACTCACCTGGTGGTGCCGCAGCAAGTGGTGGGACTGGACTGGACTCAGGTACCGCCACTGGCTCAGGAGCAGGTGCTACTGGTTCCACTGTGGGCTGAGGAGGAGGTGCAACTGGTTCACAAGGAGCAGTAAACTCAGGCAGGGGAGGTGCAGCAAATGGCTCAGCAGGCTGAGGGGACAAAGCATCCCCTGAAGGTGGGAGGGATGGTGGCAAGATGGCGACAGGCTCAAAAACAGGAGGGGAAGACAGGGGTTCTGATTCGGGAAGCAGTGGAGAGGCGATGGGCTCAATCTTGATGGGAGGTGGTATGATTTCAGCAACAGGTGAACAAGCAACAGGTTCAATCACATGTGGAGGAGCAATGGATTCGATTATTGGAGGAGCAGAAGCAATGGGCTGATTTATGGGAGGAGGGGATGATTCAATTGCAAGGGGAGGAGGTGCAAGGGAGGGTTCAACCACAGGTGGAGCAGGGCAGGGAGAGGGAATTAGGGGATCAGCGGGAGCAGGAGCAAGGGGAGGAGGGAGAGATGCTGGCAACATTACCGTCTCAACAGCAGCAGGGAGAGGAGGAGGAGGAGGTGTCGCTACAGGCTCAAAAGCAGGAGCAGCAGCAGCATTAGCAGTAGCTGGGGTCAATGGAGTTGGGAGCACCATGTCAACTATGGTGGGTGCTGCTACCTGTTCTGCTGGAGGAGGAGGAGGAGGAGGAGGAGGTGGTGAAGATGCAGCCACAGTCTCTGTGGCAGATGGAACTGGAGGAGGAGCTGGAGGTGCAACAGGTTCTACAAGAGGAGGGGGAGGAGGCAAGGAGGTGATCGGGTCAAAGAGGGGAGGGACTGGCCGCAGAGGAGGAGAAGGAGCGAGGGGAGGTGCCGTGGATGGTGGTGGAGTGGGAGCATGTTGTTGCTGTTGCAGTTCTGCGGGTTCCCTCATGCGCTTGATGACATTCTCGGAAAGCTGCATAAAAGAACAGAGTAAAAGTTTTAGCAGAACTGTGAGATTGGTTTAATTACATTAATCTTCTGAACCTCAAACCCACCAGCTGGTTTGAGAGGTATGCTATCATTAAAAGACTGTCACAACAAAAACAATCAACAGATTTCAAACTTTCTGACAGTTCTCAAACAAACCATGTTCAACATGCAGTTTTATTGGGAAAAAACATCCAGATATAAGCTTAAAATCATAACGGTGTCATACTACCCAGAAGGAATTTCTTAGTTCTCTCTACCTCTAGCCATGGTATTGCTGTTTCCATAGAGGTGCAGAACGTTATATTGCAGTAAAAAATTTGCTCACAGTGAGTAAACATTTGACAAGAGTCACACCACACTTTGTTTGTACATTTATCTTTGTGTACTGACTGAACACACACAACATGTTAATAAATGAGCTATAGAAGTACTTGTAGATAGATTTTGGAACTTTGGAGGGATTGAAGCATGCAGTTTCATCTGTTTTCGATTACATTTTTCTCAGCTATTCATATCTTATGATTCCAGGTAGACAACTCTGTGAATGGCCTTAGTCTTCTAATCTAACCATCAGCAAGACAACCATGAAGTGTATCACCCTAATGCTGAACTGACCCTTTATGCAGTGTAGTTGTGCAGCTAAGGAAAGCTACACACGATGTTAAAGAGGCAGATCTTTCCTGCTTAGATCAACCTTACAGCAAAGGAATAAACAGGGTTACACCTTGAGGAGAGGCAACAATAGTCCTTCCATGATGGCTTACCAGCTGAGTAATAATAGACATAGCCATGCCAACTAAAGTCTAATCTGATCGGCTAAAGCCTCTCAATCTATTTTTGCCTTCAGCTGACAGTGGCATTAAAGAACTTGTGACGGCTCTCTTATAGCAGAAGCTGGCAGTCACTCCATGACTACATTAACACCACAAGCATGTTTCCACAATTATGTGAAAACTCTCAAAGAACAACATTATTTCTAATCAAGATGTAGCTGCAGATAATGTGATAAGAGATAATCTAATTCATGCATTAGTAGCAGACAGCAGTGCACAAGGTTGTTGACGTCAACATTCCCCAAACTGACATTTAAAAGGTGTGTGTGTGAATCTCACATCCACTACAGGAGCTACACGTTGTTTTAAATGTAAACTTCACCACTTCAGGTTAGCATACAAAGCATTCAAAATGAATGAAAGTTTCCATGCTGCTAATGTAGCTTAGTTACTTTTAATGACGCCTTGTAGCACTTTTGCTAGCACAGCATCACATGCACATCCTATTTTACTATTGCATTACCTGATATTGAATTAAGGCATCATGTAACACTTGGTTAAGCAAGTTTGTATCCTGTCACTTACCCGTATGCCCTTCACCACTGTTATATTCTCGTTCTCGTCTGACTCAAACGACACGCGGCGGGTGCTGTTGTTGGCTCCCATTGTCAGTCCGCTGCTTGTCAGTTGTCTTGGTTACGTGTGATGTGGTAGACTTACATCCACTTCTGTTTTTGGACAGTTTACTTGTCTTAGAGCCGGTTATAGCAGGCTGGGGCCCACACTACACTGCTCAGGAACGTCCGCACTTCCTTAGCATGACGTAATTGAAGAACGCGCCACATGATTGGTTAAAAACCGTCACCCGTCTCTACATCAGTTATTTTTATTGGTTAGAGTGACGAGAGTTTGACAGCTTTGCTCCCTGAAAGAACTACAAAAATGATGTGCCAAACAATAGCAATAGATGGTGTTTTCTATTGTATGTTCTCCCTAAAACAATAATAAGACAAAATACAATCATTTCAAAAATACAATATTAGCTCTCAGTTATTCGAATAAAACTAACAACGATAATTTCAGCTGATGATAAGATTTGCCTTATCAGGCTTCAATAAAAACAAAATATATATGAACACAGCATTGAGTATTATCTTTAATTATATTCATTCTAACATAGGATTAAGTGTACATATTTGTTATTCCAACACACAGAAAAGTTCACTGTCTACTGAAACTGGTAAACCACAGTAACGAGCTTGTGGAAGGTTGTCCCACTCTTCATCAAAGGCTGGGGAAAGCTATTGGACATTTTGGGGGACAGAAACATGTTGTTGGACATATCCATCAAGTGCACCATGTGTTTGACTTTTAACTAGTGCCAAAAAGTGGAAAGCATTACCTGTGATTTCATCTCTATACTGGTCACAAGTTCAGCACAGAATTGGTTTTACGTTTCTTTAATTTGTTTATAAAGCCATGCATGGGTTGGCACCTGGGTACATCTCTGGCTTTCTCTGTCCCAATTCTACTTCAAGGCCTGTCAGATCCTCAGGACAACTGCTTTTAACCGTTCCTCATTTGAGGCCGGTGGGTCAGGGGATCAAACCTTTGCAGTCGCAGCTCAAAAACTTTTCAACAGCCTTCCTCTTTTAATCAAATGTTGCTCTTTTATTGGTATTATCAAGAAAAACTTCAAGACATACACATGGTAGGGCCTTTTGGCTGCTCTTAATGGTCTTAATCATTCTTTTTTTTGTATAGAAATTGATCTTACCAGGTGCTATCCTTGCCTGTTTTGTTATTTTATATTATTTTATGTAGTTTTACAAATGGATTTTACCTTGTTTTTATGTTTGTACCATTTTTTTTTAAAGTTATTTTATATAATTTACTTTTTAAAAAATTTTGCTGCCTGTGTGATAGCATGTTCAGCATTTTGATCAGCTCAGGGTTTTGTTTTTAAGTGTGCAATATAAATGTATTTGTTTTGATTTGTTGTTGTTCTCTCTACCCACCTCTTCGCTATTGGCTGTAGCTCAAGGACACCAGCTCACCTACAACTAAGCTTAAACACTGTAAAATCATTCAACTGTACATAACGGCAAGTTGTAATACTGGAGTAATTCAGCCATATGTAATAGATCTGGAAACTAACTGTTAAGAAGGTTAATTGGTTTGTATTGTTCCTTTGGTTCGTTACATATGAAACCATACAGTCTGAATCAATGTTTTAGAGGCTGCTAATGATACACTGCAGTTTCAGGTATAAATGCTCAGTTCTTGCGCTGACTCCTTACTTAGTTTGCACTGGAGGGAGTCTTTAAGTTAGGTTCTGCTCCTTTTCTCAAGGCAAAAAAAAATGTCACTCAGCATGTGGTGTCAGCTATTTGACAATTTCAGCACTCTGCTCCGGGTTTAGGGAATAATTTGGTCTAAACTCAGAAGTATTTAGGACAGGTACCTGGCCCTCTAGGAATGTGAATGAACTCAGGAATCGTTTGCTTTACACTCATTTCTGCATATAACAGTATTACAGCATATGATATATTATTAAAATATCTGACAAGGATCAAAATTCACCCATTTCAGTTATAATTACCGGCACAAGAAATAAATTATTTAAGCAAACAAAAAAAAATCTGTTAATAAATGATGAAGGTTGTGATTGGAATCAACACAAGCACTGAGTTGTCTTGTTAGCTGTGTTGTCTCTCATCTTGATTTGATTAAAAAAACAGACAGAAAGAAGGAGTTAAACTGAGGAAAAACTGTGAAGAAGAGGAGACGGGATGTGTAAAACATGAGGCCCAACTGAGAGGACAATACTGTCAGATTTTTAAAATTGAAGAATGGTGCAATACGTTGCCAAGCACATCAAGGAGAGCAATGACAGCCCCTGAAATGGAAATAGAAGTGAGAAGAGAATAGAGGGAGAAGCAATAGAAATGGAAGCATGGACCCATTATATAGCCAAATTCACTGGTCATATTCAGAGAACCTTTGCCTCAAACTTTTCCATCCGTCATTCCAACATCCTGAGGCTCAATCTCAGGTTGGAGAGTTGAATCTTTTTTCATTTTTTTGCTTTTATTTGGTTTGTCACATATGCATTTACTCAGTGGTCCTGATAAATCAATACGTTCTGATCTTAATAGCACTTGATTCTTTACAATCTGTGCCAGCCTCCAGTGAAACTCTTCAATATCTACATCTTTCTCTGCCATCAACTGACTATTTTTCATGCTGAGCTCTCACAGTATTTTCCATTTATCGGTGCTGGCATTACATTTAAACTGATTTGTCTCTCTGTTTGCCATCACAGCCTTTCCTCACTTTGTTTTACATGTCGACTTATATGTATGTCAGCGCTTTATTTTTTATTGTTGATTTCCATTTTCCATAAATGTCTGTTGTTGTTTTTTAATTGATTTACTGAATCTGTCCATAAAAAGAACCAGAAACTTGCAGCATGACTAATGTAATAAATGTAGGCTCTGTTCAGTATTTAAGCAGGCTTATACTATATAAGGCAGCAGTCAGGATACACAAAAATAACAAAATAAGGGAAAAAATATTGTTTACATACCTTACCGCATTTCCATACATTTCAGGTGTCCTGGCAAAACTATCACCTTGAAGATAAAACATCTTAGAATTTCAAAAAGGAGTCGAAAAATCTATAAAATATACACTTATGTTGTACACACAGCAAGTTTGTACATGAATATGAATGCAGAAAAGTCCCTTTTACCCTCTGCTACATAATGTGATCAACAGTTGGGAATAAGCACAGAATAAATCAGGGATTTAAAAATGTTTATTAATTCGCATTTACATAGAAGCTGTAATTCCACTAAGGGTGTCCAAATTTATTCCCTCTTAAAAAAAATACTTGATACAATATCCATTTCAGAAACTCACACAGCCTTGCAGAACATAAAACGGCAGGCTGGAAATTTGATATGCCTCGAGGAGTGAGGATATTATGAGGAATGACAGTTCATAAGAATCCTCCTGTAAACCTGTTATATTATACACACACAATAACCCATTTTTTTCTTTAATATAAAACTCTTTTCTGCTGATTTATGTGTTTGCGTGCCTTCTGCATTGTATGTGTTTCAGATGATGTACAAACATAAATCAATGAAAACCTTTTTAAGAATTCATTGCGGTTGTGTGTTCGATGATATCGCGGAGCGCTTCCATATATACAGAAGACTCGTGCAGCTCCTTTACGCAATATAAATCTTGATTAAATTCATATATTTAATTTAAAGAAAACGATTTACCAGAATGACAGACGCTTCTGTATGTGAGAAACAATACACATAGTGGTGATATATGAGGGAAATGGGAAAAAAAAACAAAACAGATGATACAAATCTCTGCATATGATAAGGCAAGTCATAGAAGAAATTCATTCCACAACAGATGACACAAATTGATAATTTGAACACTGAGAACAAAGAAGACTTGAAAATGAGCATTACTGGACCTTGGCCTTGAGCTATGAGGCCTTCAGCATGACTCAAAGTCAAATCTGGATGGATTATACTATCAGTATGTATTTGGGTATATTTGTATATATCACATAACAGCTACGAGGACACCCGGGATCTTTCTGCGTGGAATTTGCATGTTCTCCCCGTGCAGCGTGGGTTCTCTCCGGGTTCTCCGGCTTCCTCCCACAAGGTCCAAAAACATGTTGAGGTTAATTGGTGATTCTAAATTGTCCGTAAGTGTGAATGTGAGTGTGCTTGGTTGTCTGTCTCTAAGTGTAGCCCTGTGATAGACTGGTGACCTGTCCAGGGTGTCCCCTGCCTTCACCCTAAGTCAGCTGGGATAGACTCCAGCCCCCCACGACCCTAGTGAGGATTAAGCGGTGTATAGATGATGAACGGATGGATGGACATAACAGCTACACAAAATCTCTTTCTCATCTTCTGGGATTCTCTGAGATTATAGATATTCAAATGCTTTCAGTGTTGTCAAATTGCCGTTCCCTGAAGAGGACTCGCACACACCCATAACAAGTCAGCTATGAACAGATTATGTAATAAAGAATTAGAATGTGCGGCAATGCCCTGAGGGCACGCTCTGAAAAGCCGCAGGCGGTATTGAATGCAGCGCTTATAGAAAAGAGGCGGGATTGAATGTTACACTGAGGTAAAGGGTCCTGCTCGTTGCCGATGACAGCATTATTATAGCAAGCAAGATTATCATTACAACCGACTCCTGACTTTGATGCCAAGCAATTATGCTGCTTGGTGATCTGGTTAATTTATTGGTAATATCTGATTCAAAGACTATGTGCAGTAGAGAGGAAACTAGTATTTCCTGAATGCTCAGTGTCCGTTGATATTAGATTCATATGTTTCTGCCGCCTCGATGTAAATATAATTTGCATCATTACAATCTTGTTTTCACACTTTGCATCAGTGTGTATAATTATGTGAGTTGTGTGTGTGGCCTTGAAATTTCCTGTGAGACATCAAGAAAATGTCTTGTGTTGCTGTCACTGGCGGAAAAACTTGCCTCAAAGCAACTCAAAGACCACATCTGCTCCTTACAGGACAAGGTTCTCCAAGACAAGGCAGTAATCCAAACAAGATCTAGTCAGGTTCCTAACTTTTCTTAAAAAGCCAATGCTGATATGGTTTCTACTTGCTTTATGCTCTTAACCTTCACATACTCGTTTGTGGCGACGTCCTCACTTTGCCTTGTTAATTCCACATTCAGCATCCATAAAACTTTATGAAATTTTCAGTTTTCTCTGTATCATTTATGCAAAGGTGAGTGCTTCGCTG